GGGGCTGCCGCCGCTCCGAGCCCTCGGTCCGCAGCCCCGCCGTGTCCCCGCGGGAGGTGCCGGAAGGGACAAAAGCGGCTCGGAGCGCGCCCGGGAGCCCCGGCCGCTGGCCTGGGGGCTTCTCCCGCTCCATCCTGCTGGGAAGGGCAGGAGAACGCCTCCGAGGCCGCGGGGGGGGATGGCCGAGGATGTCACCCGCGGGGTGTCACCGCCAGGATGGCACCCCAAAGATGCCACCTCCAGGATGGCACCCCCGGGATGGTGGCATCGCTGCCGGGGTGGCACCCCCGGGATGGTGGCATCGCTGCCGGGGTGGCACCCCAAGGATGCTCCGGTGCTGCTCGAGCAGCACTTTCTGCTCCCAGGGAAGGGTCAGACCTTGTGCTGTGCCTGCCGTCATGCTCTGGATATTTAAGGGTTCCTGACCTGGGCAATGCTGGGTTATCTGTTTCAGCAGAGGAACTTGTGTGTGTGTGTGTGTGTGTGCTGAATTCTCCAGCACAGCATCCTGCAAGTTCACCAAATCCAACCATTTTTAGCCTCTTTGTTTAACCGCCCCCGTGTATTACCCGGTGATTATTGTTAATACCTGGTGCTTTACCTAAAACAGAAATGATTGTCAGTCTGCCTAGTCGTGTTCACTTTAAAGAAAAAAAAAGAAAGAAGAAAAAAAAACCAACAAAAAGGAGGTATCTGATGAGAGTAATGGCTCTGAAGGATCAGCTTCCTCTTCTGTGTTGTTTTAGGTAGTTTTAGTTGCTACACCTAGAGGTGAGCTTTTTGTAAGCCTCTCTTCTGGTCGCTTTCATTGTTGACTGAAGAAGAGGTTCCTGCTCTGTACCTGCCAGGAGTCATTAAAATACTGCCCGAAGTGCAGACTGCACAGGCCCGCAGTTATTCACCGCCGTGGGCTTGTGTGGGAAAATCATTCCTTACAGGAACGGGAAAATGCCCTGAAATCTGCAGCTCGGTTAGGGAGAGCAAACCCCTGGTGCTGACAGGGCTCTGGCCACGCCGTGTGATTGATGAGCTTTGCATCCCAGAGACTGAAAGAAAGTTCTCCTCTTGCCTTATTTCTCAAGTTCATAATAAACTGGATTCTTTTTGAGCTCTTCCTTGCTCTTGCTGAAGAGCCAAGCAGTGCCAATGTTCCCTTTCCAAGTTTGGTGCCATGTGCCAGAATTGCAAATGCTCCACTTGAAGATACTCGGTTGTCATTCGCTCTTCAGCCCTCATTCCTTTGGCAGGCTTTGTGATGGAGATGAAAACTTTAATCTTCGTTTTTATTGTCGTTTTAGTAAGCGTGTTTGTTCAGCATTGTTCGAAATAACAAAGGTTACAGAAAACACAGAGCTTAAAAGCTCCCTGATTCCTGGATGATTCTTTCATCTGTGTCCTGAGGAATTGCTGAATTCTGTTAGGCTTGATATTTTTATTATTATTTTTTTTTTTTTTTAGCCAGCTTTTCTGTCCAGCCTGCAGCCTTTTTATTTTCTGTGGGATTTTTACAGCAGATTTGCCTGTGCTGGAGGTTTTTTGTCAAGGTCTTCGATTTTTTGAGTCAGCTCTGACTTCTGCAGTGGGAGATGCAAGAGTGTTTTTCTGGAAATGAATTGCTGAGTTGATTGCTGGAAGTACTTACACAATCTTTAAGGAAGGGGAACCCTGTTAAGATCACTTCTGGTGATGTCAGAGGAAATTAATTCCAGCCAAATACTCTTTGGAATAGGCACTTCCAGTTTGGAGCAGCTCACCTGATTGTTGGATCCCTGAACACACCAAGTGGAAATCCTGCTTGTTAATGTCTCCACACTGAAGGGTTTTCATATTTCAAGTTTGTTCTAAACCGTTGCTTAAGTTCCAGTGGAAGAATATTCAGATTTTAGGTCCTGGAACAGCTGTGCTGGTGCACCCTCAGGTCTGTGCTACAGGAGGATGCTGTGATGCTGCTGGGACTTGCTAAAAAAAACCTATTTTAAAAGGAATCCTTGTCAAAGTTTCTCCTGAATCTCCTGATCTGAACCCTTTATGTTCAGAACCTGTTTGTTGTTGGGCTTTTCTAGCACTGGCATTTGGAAATTGTGTTTTATATAATTTTGACCTTTAAAAATACTTGATTTTTTTTTTTTTTAACACAACTCTGCCTAGCCAATAACCATCAAATTAAAAAAAAAAAAGAAGATGGGCTCTTATTACCCGGAATTCAGCACTTATGGATTGTGTACAGTCCATCCTTTTTCTGGAAAGAGAACAAGGATAAGAAGATAAAATTGTTGCCATTAATTGTGTGCATGCAAACAAAGTCAGAACTTGAATTAATGCAGCCCTGAAATTCTAACCAACCAAACAGAAGTGTGAAAGTTGGGAAAAACGGGGGAATTAATGAAGATATGGAGGGCTAGAGGTGCTGCCTGACCCCTTTTTGCTGCCAGTCCACCCAGGGGAGGCTGAAGCCAACTTTACTTGGCTTGTTTGGGTGTTTGGTGCCATTTGAGTGAAAGCCACGTGGCTTTTTCCTGCCACACTCCTTTCTTTATCCAAATCCTGTGATCCCAGGGCAGCTCCTGCTAATGAGGCGTGGAAATGAGCAGAGATTTTCCTGGGGAGGAGGAGAGGAGAGAACAGAAATAATTGGAAGCGTCAAGCTGGAGAAGATGGAGATTTGCTTCCTGTGGAATAGGATGGGGATGTAATAAGGAAAAGGTTTGGAGTCGGTGGGAAATAAAGAAAAGGTTTGGGATAGGTGAAGGTGCTGCTTGGAAAAAGCAGGGAATTTAGGAATCCACCCCTAAAATCCTTAATTAAAGCCCTCTAAGGATTAATCCCCTGCTGAGGAACTCTGCTGGCTGCTCCCCAGGTGAAAATAAAACCTGGATGTCCCTGTGGATCCCAGATGTGCTTTCACCTGGCTGCTGTTACAGGGAATTTGTATTTTTCTCTGGAAAAAAATGATGGAAAATAACCCTCCAGCCCTTGATTTGATCTGTGGCACCAGTTCAGGTGTGCTCAGGTATTTGCAAAGTGAGTAACTCCAGCAGAGACAGCAGCTCCCTGTGCTACACAACAAAATACCGAGTTTTTCCAGACTGCAGGAAGCTCTATTTGTTAATTTTAATGCACTTTATCTATTTTAAGAATGCACTGGATGAACAAATCTGAATTTCTGTAACCTGCAGGGACAAAGCTCTGTTTGAATGTGAACTTGTAGCGGGAGGTTGTGTTGTGGTTTTGGTTTTGGTGTTTGCTTTTTGCCTTTGCTTTTCCTTTGGAGAATTAAATGAATAAAAGAAGAACAATGAAAAAGGACAGTTGGAGTAGCTGAGGAGCAGAACTTTCATCTTTTCTCGACAAGCTTTTCATCCTCACTCCTTGGCAGCTGCAATTCCCAAATGTCAGGGGAGGATTGAGCAAACTCCCGTTCCCTGGGCCTTGAGTGGAAGAGGGAAGGAAACTTGTGCAGTTCCTTGTGTTTTTAAATGAGAAGAAACCACGAAAGCTGCAAAAATATCTTGGAATGTAACTCCTTAAGCAGCAAAAACTGGTGACAGGGCGAGATCAGGGAAGGCAGAGGATTCCCTTTTGGTTTTCCTTGTCAGATGAAGGATGTGCTGACATTATATATTGAAATTTGGGATTTTTTTTCTCCTTGTTGTTGTTTGCTTCGAGCTGTTGCCAGTAGTTGCTGGCAGGCTGCATGTTTAGGAACAAAACACACTTTTCAGATAGGAAACTGCTCCGTGGCTTGAAGGAGCTTCTCCACCTCTAAGAATTACATCCCTTTTCCTGTCATCAAGACACAGCTGAGCTCATGGACAAAAAGGAGCTGCTGAATTCCCCATTCCTCCTCACATCCTTGCGAAGACTTTGCTGGATTTTAAGCATTTTCAAGTGGTTCTTCTCTAAAATCTTCCCTGGTCCTGGCAAGATGAAGATGCAGAATGAACTGAGGTATTTAATCTGCATTTGAGTGGAGGAGCAGAGGTGGCAGCAGCTGCTGTGCTGCCTTTCCTATAGTTTATACATTTTATGGACACATTTCATGCACACTTGAAGTTGTGCAAGGCTTGCAAAGAGCAAGGGACTTTTCCTTTCAAGTAGGTTTTTATTTTCTGCTCTCAACAGCAACTTTTTTAATAGCCCCAAAAACTCCATGTCGTAAGACAAAAGCATGGTTTGATGTAAAGCAGTGAGGTTTGTGAGCTAAAAAATCTATTTAAACTGGAAAAGCAGCTCGTTCTCCATTAGTTTGCAGCTCAAGATATTCTTGATTAGTGGTGGAGCTGTGCTCAGAACTGTCCCTGTGGTTACAGCATAAATGGTGCAGCTCATCAGTGATTATTTGCATCTTTTATTATCAAGTTTTATACTTGAAATAAAGTGTGAGTTCCATAGAAGGAACTGGAATAAAACGAGGAGGTAACAAATAGGAGAAGAGGCAGGTGATCCACGTTGGATTTTCATTGTTTAGAGCAGTCTCTTCATCATTTAAAACACAGAAACTTCAAAAAAATGACCTGGAATTTTTCAGGTTTTGCCACCTTGAGCATCACTGTTCCCTTCTGCTTCTCAGCTCTGTGTTTTGAAGAAAAAAGGCTGTGGAATAACTCAGGGTTATTGGTGGAAATTCTGAACCTCTTTTGATTGTTTTTAATGGCTGTATATATCAGAATTACTATAATTTTGTATTGTTTATATTGATAAAAGTGTTTTGCTCAAAATTTTGGACGTTTAAAAAAAAAGTCCCACACTTGTCTTTTGGGAAAATAAAAATACCCCAAAAAAACAACTTCTTGTTTGTTTTGGATAACTCAGCTCTGTGAAAGCACATCCTGCACCTTCAAAACAACCCCAAATTTGCACAAATTTTACCGTTTATTCACCCACAACAGAATCTCAATTTCCTGGGAGTTGGGGAAAGACAAGGGACTTTTAAAGAAGGGAAAATCAGAATGAACCGAAGTCAATAAATAGTTAATTTTGAATTCAGGTGGGCCCATAATCAGTGTTGGAGCAGATAATGAGGTTCACCTCCCGTGGATTTCTGTCTCCTGTGCAGCAGCTCTCCCATGTTCAATAGTTTGTGAAATTCTGTTATAATTGGAAGCATTTGTGGGGCTTACATTGTTTGCTCCTTTTTCAGCATTACTAAAGTGGCATTCAGGGTGAATAAACACCATTTATACATTCAGAGCTCTTTAGCATTTTTACCCTTTGCATGTTCAGGGGCTGTATTTTCACTTTCTTCTTGGTTTCAATTTTAAACCTCTTCTGTTGGTTCCCCCCAGCGTCTGTAGTTACCTTCCCTCTGCATTTTATTGGCTGAAAACAAGGTCAGCAGGGCCAGGGTGCGTTTTGTGAACTAATTGAGATGTGTTTCCAAGGTTTGACTGATAAATTTATCTGCAGAGTTTTTTTTCTCTGAAGGGATGAGCTGCAGATACCCTTTTATAACAGCACATGAATTAATTAAACACGTCACAGCTGCAGCTACACGGATCCTCTTGTGTTTGCATTATTTGTGTGGAGCCAACAGTTTTTCTCTTAAAATATCATTTCGTGGGACTCAGATTTGTCACCTTGACTCCAGAAATGGGCACCATTGAGGAAGAATCTTCTTTTTAGGAAGATTTTGGTCACTGCAAATTGCTGATTTAAGAGCACTGGCCTCCCTCACTTGTTCAGCGTCTTCCATTCCATGGAAAACCTGTTTTTTCTCATGGAAAGCCTGTTTTTTCTCACATGTTGGTGTGGGTGAGAGCCGTGCAGCCCCTTAGAGGGACCCCTGAAACTTTGAATGCTGCCCTGCTGTATTTTTCAGCCTGGAATTTGTATTTCAGAACTCCCCTGAAAGCCTCCAGTTACCTGGGGATGCGTTGTTCCCTTTCTAATGAGGGTGAACTCACGAGGAGCACGTTGGGGGGAGGTTTTTAAACTTCATTTTTGCTGTTGGTCTGCAGGTGGCAATAAAAATCATTGACAAATCTCAGCTGGATGCTGTGAATCTGGAGAAGATCTACAGGGAGGTGCAGATAATGAAGATGCTCGACCACCCACACATCATAAAACTCTACCAGGTAGGCTTAGAGGGGCTTTCCTCCCTTTTCCCCCTCTTTTTTATCCCTCTCTTAGTTCTGTTAAATAAAGATGAAGATCCCAGTTAAGACCAGTTCAGCTTTAGATTAATTTTTATGCAAAAGAAACTGGCACTTGGTCTTTAAAATATTGATGTGCCAGGTGGAGATGGAGCTTGAGGAGTTAAATTTGCAGCTGCCTTGATAATATCTCCCCCGAGTTCCTTTCTGAATGAATGACACCACACAAAAGTGGCAGAGGATGTTTAAATGAAGTCTGAAGATCAGCAAGATCACCTGAAGAGAGAGTGATGGTTGTGTAGTGCTCACTCCTTCAGTGACTGGGTAAAAAATGCATTTGATAAATGAGTTTATTTTTCAGATAGCCTCCAAATTGTCTCCCCGGTTTTGCTTTGATTTGTGAGCGGGCTCTTGGGACTTTCAGGCCTTTATTTAATAAATAAAATGCAAAATCGAATTCACAAAGGTCGTGCCCACGGACAGGTTCAGCTCATGCCGAATTGTTCCTCTGAGGTTATTGAAATAAACCCAAAACACGTTGAATTTGTTGTCCTGAATTCTAAAATGACTTTTTGAAGTGGAGGATTGCTCACTCTCAGTGAAACCTTTGATTATTTTGTTTGCACACTTTGGAAGATTGTGACAACTCCACGTGCGAGGCAGAACTTCCACAGCTTTAGGAGGGAACCAGATAAATAAGGATCCTTTTGGGTGTTTGTTGGCTTTTTTTGCTCTTCCCCCAAGGCCTCATGTGTGATTTGTGCATCCACAGGTGATGGAGACCAAAAGCATGCTGTACCTCGTGACAGAATTTGCCAAAAACGGGGAGATTTTCGGTAAGCGGGCGAATATTTCCACATTCAACTTTTTAATGCACTCCTGGTCTCTTTGTAAACAAGGATCTTTAGGGGCTGTTATTAGAGATTTATTATTTCTGTGCACTTGCAGGGTTAAAAAACCTTTTAGTTTGAAACTGGATTTCCTCTGTTTCACTTGGTTTCCACTGCCTCTTGTCCTTTTGCTGGGGGGAGCCCAGCTTTGTCTTGGGACAAAAATCCTGCTCCTTTGGCTGTGCATGTAAAATCACTTCTGCCTTCTATTCTCTCCTAATAACATGAAAAAAAACCCCCAAAACCTGCTGTAAGATGGTGCCACCAGGCTGAGATAAATACAAAAAAATTTATCAGGCAGAGGTGGCTTGATAAATTTTAATGCCCCCATCCCAGTCCCTGTTTGCACTCTGGTTAATGGCCAAGCCCTGGTGCTCCAGGAGGGAGAGGGGTGATCCCAGAATAAATGACCTGTTCTGAGCACACTGAAGGGTTTGGAATCTTTAAATAAGTCCTGACAGAGCCAGAGCCATAAAAGCAAACGACAGCTTGGCTTCATTAACTTGTTTGCTGCATTGCTAACAAATGATGGATTAACAGCTCAGAGAGCTGGCTGGTGCTCAGGGGTAATTTAGTTTGTGCCTTTGATATCTGACTTCACCTTGATATCATATGATTTGTCAGTCACTCTGTGCCTGAATGATATTTAGCTTGCAAATATTATGATCTCCCCTTACTGCCAGGCTTTTGTTTGTTCTCGTGCTTTGCCAAGTGAAACCAGCTGAGAGTGTGTGAGGTGGGGTGGGAGCAGCTCCCAGAGATCGGCTTTGACCACAGAGAAAACTTTAAATGAAAATATTGCCGAAGTTACAAAGCCCCTAAATGATATCTGAATCAGAAAGCCCCTAAAACACAGGCTAAGAAAGCCTCCTCAATGGTATTTGAATTAAAAATGTCTTAAAACACAGGTTAACAAAGCCCTCTAAATGATATTTTAATCAAAAACCCCCCTAAAACACAAAGCCAACAAAGCCCCCATAATATTTGAATTAAAAATCCCCTAAAAGCCAGGCTAACAAAGCCAGGTTTGGAGTTGTGTTGGGCAAGATGCTGCTGCTGCTGGGATCACTGCTGTTACACAACTGGGTGAGAAGATAAGATTAATCACTGGCTAGAAAATCTATATGTATTTGCTGCTCCTAGGCCATTAACTGCATTCTTTGTGGGATGTCAGAGGCAGTCCTGAGCCCATCCCAGCAGCTGATTCCCTGATTTTGTGCTCTTGGAGAAAAGCTCTGGAATTGGCTGTGGAAGCTGCTCCTGTCAAGGCTCATGCAGCTGCTTGCTCCCCTTGTTTTTGTTCCTGAGGATAAATGGAAGTTTTTGGTTTCAGGGCTGACATTGGGTTTTACAGTGTAATCAAATATGGAAACAAAATGTTCTCTCTGCCTGTGACGCAGTGGAGGGAGAGGTCAGGATGGGCACCTTTGGGGTTCTTGTTTTATTTCCAGAAATTAAAAGAAAAAATACTTTCAGCCACCACACAGCCACTGCTGAGGCTTCAGAGGGAGAAGTGGGATGGGAATTCCTCTAAGTGAAGCTTAGAGGAATTAAAGCTTGAAGCATCCAGGATGGTGAAGCACATTATTCCAAGTATTCCCCATGAATTGTGTTGTGAAAATATTGGCCAGGTAGCTGTAGAAGAAGGAGCAGAGAAGTTTCCTCTTTTTTTCCAATTTTTTGGAGGGTTGAATGGGAGAACAACAAGCTGGAAACTGCTTTGAGTTCCCTTGTGCTAATTACTTGGGAGAAATTAAATTTCAGTGTTGTTGCTTGCTGCCCAGTCCATTTAAACCTGAATTGTTTCATTTGTGCTGATTGGAGTTCCCAGGCTGTGAAATATTGGTCAGGTAAAGGAAGGAGCAGAGAAAAATTTTCTCATTTCTTTCCATTTTTTCGAAGAGTTGAGTGGGAGAACAATGAGCTGAAGGCTACTTTGAGTTCCTTTGTGGTAATTATTGGGAAGAAATCATTGAGTTTCAAATTTGTTGCCTGAGTCCATTTAAACCTGATTTGCTTGATTTCTGCTGCTTTTATTTCCAAGATCACCATGAGTTCTGTTATGAAAATATTGTGCAAATATTGACCAGGTAGCTATAAAAGAAGCACCAGAGAAAAGTTCCCTTATTTTTTTCCCATTTTCTCGATGTGTTGGCTGGGAGAACAAGCTGGAAGCTGATTTGGGTTCCTTTATGCTAATTATTGGTGAGAAATCACTGAGTTTCAGGATTGTTACTTGCTGTCCGACTTGATTTAAAGCTTTTGGTAGAGTTCTGATTTAATTTCTGTTATGAAATGACCAGGTAGCTATAAAAAACCCAGAGAAAAATCTCCTTATTTTTTGACTTTGACTTCTTTTTTACTCCATCTTTTCAGAGGGTTGGCTGGGAGATTAAGCAGCTGGAAACCTTTTTGTGGGGGGGAAAAAAATCATGAAATGTCAGTGCTGTCCAAAATGATCTAAAGGAGATTTTCTTGATTTGTGGTGATTTTGTTTCCCAGATTACCTGGCCAGCCACGGGCGCCTGAGCGAGCCCGAGGCTCGGCGCAAGTTCTGGCAGATCCTGTCGGCAGTGGAATATTGCCACGGCAGGAAAATCGTGCACAGGGACCTCAAAGCTGAGAATCTCCTGCTGGACAACAACATGAACATCAAAATAGCAGGTACTCCATGCAGAAAAAACTTATTTTTATGTGGTTTTATTTTTTTTTTGTTTTTAATAAAACCCCTCTCTGGAAATCCACTCGCACCGCCCGAGATTCCTTTGTGAGATTCTTTCTTTTCCAAGTTTTTTTCATGGTGGGTGTCAAAGTCCATCCAAATTTCCAATATTAACTTCCAGAAGAAGAAAGAAATTGGAGTTATTGACATTTTTTTTGTGGGTGTCTTTAAAGCTGCCAGATGTTCAGGTTAAAACAGAGTTAATCAAATAACTCCTTTCAACATTAAAAAAAATCCCCTCAAAATGGAAGCTTATTGATTTTTTTTTTTTCCTTTTTGCATGCATGATTTCACTTTAATTATAAATTTAGACACAGCAGATGTTGCTAGCAATAGAAATCATTTTCATTACAATTCCACGGATCCTTCCATGCTGACTTTAGCCCAGAGAGGCTGGAAATGGGTAAAATAAAGAATATCTTGATTTGGGAGACCTCAGTCTTCAATAACAGGGGAGCAGGAGGGGGAGTGAAGGAAGGAGAGGGAATTTCCCTTTCTCAGGCTGAGAAAAGTGAAATGATAAAACATTTCTGATCATTCCTGGATTATTTTACCTTTTCTTTTCCCTCCTGGCATTTCTGGGGTGGTGATGGGGTTTTGTTCCCCAGGTGGGGGGTGCTGCCATTTGTGGGGTGTTTCTCCTTTTCTCATTTCTGATTTTATACTTGAATTCACCTCCAGCAGCTCCTGGCACTCAGAGCACCTGGAGAATCATGGCTGAGAGATAATTTATTCACCAGGCCAGTTGATACTGAAAAAATCCTAAATACAGTCTGGGGGCTGCCAGTCACCCCCTTGCTCTGAGGAGTTGAACTGAAAGAAGGGAATTTCTTGCTGTTGTTCATCTGTGCTTTCTCTCCTGCCTTCACTGCCACATTTTTGCCTCCTGGTCCCTCTCCACATCCGTGTGCAGCTCTGCAGCTCAGCCTGGCAGAGTTTTTCAGAGCTCCTCGGGGGTCTCAGCTCCTGCATCCAGAGGTTTTCCTGCCCTGGGTGCAAATCCCCTGAGAGCAGCTCACAATCCCCTCTCTCCAGAGCATCTCAGGAGAGCCATGAGCTGCTCTGTCACCGGGAGTTTCAGCGCTGGAGCTCTCCAGGGACTCCAGTAAAAGCTCTGAAAATGGGAGTGAGGAGATTCCATCAGCTGCTGCTGCCTCTGCCCTGCCTCAGCTGCTCTCCTGCTCCACTTCTCCAGTGCAGAAAGTTAATTACAGGTGGGCTGGGTGCAAATGAACCCATTAAATGGTTCTCCAGTGGATCTCAGGTTTTATCAGGCTGGTAAGAGCTTCACCAACCTGGCTGATGAAGGAGCTGGAGGAAAGTTCAGGCTGCTGGAAACTTTGTAGTGATTTGTGCCGAGTCAGTTGTTGGGTTTTTTTTCACTGTAAAGGAGACAGATTATGAACTCCACAGAGTTTATCTGGGATTTTTGGAGTTATCTGGTGCTGTGCAGATCCCTGGGAACAGCCTCTTCCAGTTGTTCATCTTCTTCATGGCTCATTTATCAGGCTGGGGAAGGACAGAGGCAGCCAGGATCCCAGCTCTGATAACTGGGATTTTCCTCTGATTTCAGTAGGAATTGAAAAGAACAGCACAAGAACTGATGAATTATTTTGATAAAGCTCTTCTTAACTTCCAGTGGGCCTCTTGGTTCATACTGCTGCTTCCAAGGCTTTTATTGAAGCTTTTTACTCTTCAAGAGTACAACAGTTTTTAGTCAAATACTGAAACATGCACAAAGTTACCTCTGAGATTTCCATCTTTGATGCTTGAGGCTGGACTGAAATCCAACAGTTTTGTGTTAATATTGCTCTAAAAGGACGGGGACAGGCAGAATTCAAAGGATTTTTCCTCTCTCACTGACCCAACAACAAACAGAGGATGAGTAAAGAACTCAAAGTGAGAGCTTTGATAGATTTATTTTCTAGAAGATATGAGGTGGTTGGGAGCAAAGCCCTCAAACTTCAGTGTAAGTAGGAAAACTGAAGGTGTTAATGAGATAAAATGTCATTGAGAAGGGGGAAGGTGAGGAATTCCATGCTGGGTTTAACGTGGAATTTGAGCTTAGCACTAGCAAGGCAAACCTCCCTGGTTCTTCCCAAAGTCAAGCAGCTGGATTGGCCACGTCTCCTTTGGATTTGCTGCTTTTTCAGGGCATCTTTTGAGCTCATTTCAGCTCCCTGTGCTCTCCCTGAGAGCGTTCCGAGAGTTCTTTGCTGTGCAGCCAGAAATCCGCGCAGTGAAACCCAAACCCAGCTTGGAATCCAAACCCAGCTCCTCTTTTTGTGTCCTCCAGCCCCAGATTCGGGTGCCTGCAGCATCCTGACGTTTGCAGCAGCCCAGGTAGGCAGAGACTGTTATTTTGAAGGAGGCTGGAGCTGCTGCTGGACAGGGAAATGTGCATTGACGTCAGGAGAGGCTGCTCAGCACTCAGCCCCTGAAGTGGGTCAGGTTTGTTGCTGCCACGCTCGTACCTTGCCTTTATCAGCACCTCTGTGCCCATTATCTCCCAGGCTCACATTTCTCCTCCAACAAAAGCTCCCTGTGGCTCTCTGCAAGCCGGGCAGATTGAGTTCTGCTCGTAATTTTAGGAGAATGGATTAATTATAGCTGCGGAGCTCCTTCTTGGAGGGTGCTGGGGGTAGAAATGAGAGGCTCTGCCGTCCTGCTGGATGCTCAGCAGAAGTTGCAGCAGCTCTGGCAGGGAGCTGCCGTTTCTCAGATTGCAAATGGGGCTGAAATCTCAGTCTGTTTCCATTTTTAACGGGAAAACAGATTCCATTGCCGTGATGTGCGCTCAAAAAAATTATACCTTCGAAATTCAAGATTATTCTAAAGGGGGTAATGGGATTGAGAAACCAAATACCACAACTGTGGAGAGCCAATATTTGCAGATTGCACAAACACAGAGTTTATTCAACTGAGCACAATGCTGCAAATGATGGCCTCTTTTTTTGGGTTTTTTTTTTTGTGTTTTGTTTTTTTTAACGTGCAGATTCAGGGAAATGTTAAGAAGATCACTCCATTATATAATCCCAGTCCTTTGGTAATGAGCCCAATTTCGGTCCTTTTAGAACACTCTGGCTGGCATGTGTTTGTTTTGGGGTTTTTTAGAGGGCTGGCACATTTTTCCCTCGAACATCAGTGATGTTTCCTCTGGAATGAGACATTTTTGGGTTAAAAATGACCACTTTGGGTCCAGAACGGCTGTGGCAGATCAGCAGTGGTAAAAGAGGAGCAAGGTGCAAGGGGGGAGAAGGAGAGACTCACGATTGCTTTGTGCTTAACAGAATCCTGGCCACTCCAAAAAAGTGGGGCAACTCAACTGACAGCGCAGTAATTAAAAATTGAGGAAGCCCCATGGACCAAACACTCAGGATCCTGACTAAATCCTCATTTTTTTTTTCCTTTGAAAGGGTTTTCATGGATGCTCTCCATGCTGGAGTGCTTACAAATTGTTTCCCAGCCATTTGTGTGGGAAGAATAATGGGAACAGAAAGGGGTGACCACAAGAAGTTGTGTACCCTAACAAATAGTGCTGATCTCCCCCAGCCAGGGAATTATTTTGTCTGACAACAGAACAGAATTGGATTTTTTAAAGCTAAGAGCCAGTTGCTGACACACAGAGCACTGGTTTTAATGGGTATATATTACATGAAAAAGCCCAGTGCCAGTCAGGTGTCTGGCAGTGCTTTGTGCAGGAATTCAGAAGTGAAGGATTCTGGTGTTCCATCCGTCATAAAGAGGGAAGAAATTGAAGTTTTAGAGGTGCAGGCCTAAGGCAGAACAGGGGAAATGATTTTCCAGGTGTAGCAGACAAGAAATTCCCACTCGCTGTGGCTCAGCCTCCTTGGCTGCTCCTTCTGGTAGCAATTCACAGCCTCTCATTCATGAATTTGCCTAATAAAGCTCAATCGTCTGTGCTGTCACAAGACCATCAGAGCCAGCCAAGAGCTGCTCTTCCACCCAGTTAAGCACTGCAAGTTCTGCAGTTCTCTTGCTCAGAGAGGCCAGGAGCAGCTCCAGGATGTCCTTGCTCCCAAAGTCCTTTTGGTGCCCAGAAATAAAACTTTGAAATTGATCATCTAAAGATAATAATAGCATAAACCTGAGGCTTCTCTTTTATTGGCTCTGTTCTTTTTTGCTGCTCAGGTTTCTTCATGTTTCTTTTTGGTGATTTCTTCAAAGAGGTAACTTTAAATCCCAGTCTGGGCAGGCAAAGAATTTCACCTTTTTTTAGGATTTGAAAGCCTTGTGCTCCCAAGCAGGTCACACTTTCTTTATTAGCTGTGCTTACAAATAAATGTTCTTGTACTTGTGAATCTGATACAAAGATTTATGAGGGTGGCACCCGAGTGAGAGCTGCAGTTCAGAGATAAAAACCTGATGTTTATCTGCAGCACTGTGAGGATGTTGAAAACCTGACAAATCCGAGATAAGTGAGGGGAGAAATCAGATTTAACGACACCTACACGGAGTGGCAGAATGCTTCTGTGGAGAGGAGAAACAGCTCCGTGTCTCCCAAAGCATTGTCACGGTTGCCAAGCCAATTCTGTGTGAAGAAAAGTCTTCTCAAAGAGAATAATGATTAAAAAAAAATTCACAACAGCAGTCTGTCTGTGATGGGGGAAAAGGGAAAAAGGTGACACAGCGATGGGGGGATTTGGGGGAGATTCTGTGGTTATTCCAGAACTGCAGGAGGGTGAGAGGAGGGGCAGCAGGGATGTTCCATCCTGTTCCATCCCGTGGTTCCTGGAGAGGTTTGGAATCTGAGCCGGCCTTGGCCGCTGGCAGCCCTGGGCTCGGTGACGTCCCTGGGCCCCGGTGGCGTCACCGTCCCTGCCCGTCAGGGCTCGGCTGGGACCTGACCTTCACAGCAGCCCTGGCAGCCAGCCCAGCTGGGAGCAGCCAGGGATCAACCCTTTGATGGTGCCCAGGTCCCAAAAGTTCACCCTGCAGGGTATCGGGTGTGCTGACCCTGATCCCGCCGGGACATCTGGGCCTCCGCACGTACCGGGGATTGTGGGGAGGGTGAGATGTTCATTCTCGCCTCCAAAATCCTCTGCGCTCCTGGTGTTCCCAAAACTGCTTCATTTTGAGTGATCTTGCAGGTAGAATTCCTTTTAAAGGGCTGCTGGAGCTCCTGCTGGGAAAGCAGCCCCCGTTCCTTCCCCACAGAGCTCGGTGTCAGCAGGCAGCTGCAGCTCTGCTCTGCTGCTCCAAACCAGCTCCAGGCTGACTTTTTTCTGAGGCTTTGTTAAATCTCTCTCTGTTTGTCTGACTCTGAGGGCTCTCTCGTGGTTTTCTGGCTCCTCTGAGCAGCACAGGCAACACAAACGGGGTGGACGGGGTGGTTCAGCAGAGCCTGTGGTAACCACAGCGTTTATCAGCTCTGCTATCTGCTGGTCAGCATTCCCGACATCCCTGGGAACATCCAGGGCTGGATCAACAGCCTGAGCCCTGTTTGTCACCTCACAGCATCCCTGGGGACATCCAGGGCTGGATCACCCTGAGCCCTGTTTGTCACAGCAGCACCAGGAGCTGCCCAGCTCGAGGGGACAAGCGCCAGCCTCTGTCTCCAAGCCCGTTGCTTTTGCTTCTCACCCCTGAATTATAAAAGTTCTGATTAATATCAGACCACAGCTGGTCCTGTTGCCATAAAAAGCAATATTTTGAAGAATTTTTTTTGTTTGTGGGCTGGTAATTGCAAGGGCTGCAGACAGTCCCAGTAGCAGTGTCCTTCCCAGCAGAAATCCCCCTGGTTTCCCGTGCCTGTTGCTCTTGGCACAGCTCCTTCCTCCCAGCTCCAAAGCTTGTCAAAATTTGTGTATTCAAGGCTAGAAAGCACCTAAGGAAAAGCCAGGAAATCTCAGATTATCTCTTGGCAAGTCAATAACCTCGTTTATCTGCTGCTTTGTTGAATTTTAATGGTGGCTGTTTACAAGTTTACTCAAAACTCCTCCAGGTTGTGAAGGTTTTGAGGTGTTTTTAACAATTCCACATTATGAAAACAGTAACAGAGGACACCCAGCATCCCAATATTTTTAGTGGGGGTGCCCACAAAAGGATTTGGGATGGAATCACAGTGTGGCCATGCATATAATTATTCATTGTGGTGCGGTGGAAGCTTGGGGTGACTTTTCCCTTTATTTTTTTCCCCACAGATTTTGGCTTTGGGAATTTCTATAAGAGCGGGGAGCCTCTGACAACGTGGTGTGGGAGCCCCCCTTATGCAGCCCCAGAAGTCTTTGAAGGCCAGCAGTACGAGGGACCCCAGCTGGACATTTGGGTACCTTTATCCTTTATTTTAACTTCATTCCAGTCAACTTCTGGGAAGCTGGAACCAATATTTGGTTTTTCTTAAGGTGCAGATCTGGAATATTTGATTTTTCCGAAGCTGCGGGTCTGGAATCTTTGGTTTTCTTTTAAGCTGCAGCCAAGTTGTTCCAGGTTTATTTCTTGAGTGCCATAAAAACCTTTCCCACTGTGTGGAATTTGGGTTCCCTGTCCAAACGTGCACAGCAGGTGGATCTCAGAGGGGAACAAACCCCTCCCAAGGCTCCTTGGCTGGATGAGCAAAATTTGCTTTTTTTCCTGTTCCTTTTGGTGTTTTCTTTGGGGTTTGATTTTAATGTTCTGATTTTATTTGCATTTTTTGATTCACATCTTAAGGATGATTTGTCAGCCTCAGGTTTGCATGCATCACCCCAGGGTGACTTTTTGGCCAGGGCAGCTCATGAAAAGCCACCTTTGGGCTGCTCAGTTAATTTAAATGAACTCAAATCACCTTCACAAATAAAATCTTCGCTAAGTTTTTAACCAGATAAACTAAAAATGTGCTTTTACAGACATTTATCTGGCTGTGTGCTGGTTCTGTGTACATAAGCACCTAATAAATACTGGTTTTAGAAAGGCTCCAGCCTTCCTGGACCTTTGGGAGTTGGTAAACACAGAGCAGACGTCAGCCAGGTGACGCTCTGAGCGTCAGAAGGGAATCCCTGAACTTTGGTAAATATTCCTTAAATATAAAAGATCCTAAATCATTAACAGGATCTGACTGCCCACAGAGAAGACGTTGGAATTTAAAATAAAATCATCTTAACTTCTGAATTAAGTAGTCTGTGAAGGTGCCCAGCTTGCAGCAATGCCCAGTTCAGTTTTTGGCAGGTTTTTTTTAAAAAAAAATCTGTATTTAATTTTAAAATCTCTGTGTTTTTACAAAGTTTTGAGGTCTACACCTGCTTTTTCCCTCTTGGGAGAGCCAGTGCTGTGCCAGGCTGGTGTTCTGCCCTCATGGAGTGTGGCACTGTTATTTTTTTTGGCAAGAACATTCCCACTGGCAGTGCCAATTCACTGCATCCTCCCAGGAATGAGCAATTGGAGCAGAGCTCCTGCCCATGATTTCCCTTTTTCCTCACATTAAATAATCCCCTAAACTGACTGTTCATAGGAACTCCTCCCCACAGGCTTTTGCAGGCTTCAAATGGAAAATATTACAGTTTTTCACTTGGAGTGGCTGCTGTTTGGGGGTTGCTTTTCTTTGGGCAACGCTGAGATTAATAAAAATAGCCTGAATTCTCAGCTGAAGCTGGGGTTCATTCTCAGGTACCCCATGTGCAGCTCCCTCATTTTCACTTGAATTCCCTTTTTCTGCAGGAAATAATGATTTCTGTGGCAGGGCTTGGCTTGCAGCCTCAGAGACACTGCTGGGAGCTTGGAACTGAGCTGAAAATTCCCTTTTTTTTCCCCACAGAGCATGGGGGTGGTGCTCTACGTGCTGGTGTGTGGAGCACTGCCCTTTGATGGACCCACCCTGCCCATCCTCAGGCAGAGAGTGCTGGAGGGAAGATTCAGGATCCCTTATTTCATGTCAGAAGGTAACAGTGGCGTGGTTTTACTCATTTGGTGTGGTTTGAATAAATTCTGGGATAACCAGGAGGCGGGCAGGGGGAATGGCGCTGTTTGCCATGAAGAATTTGGGCTTTTTTCTGCTTTAATGTGATTTTTTACTCTTGTTTTGAGAGATTTTGAGCAGCAGTGATGCAGCTCTGGGCTGGTAGGTCACTGAGCAAGTTTCTAATTCATATTTTTATCCCCTGCCAACAGAGTGTGAGCACCTGATCAGGAGGATGTTGGTCCTGGACCCTTCCAAACGTTTGAGCATCGCTCAGATCAAGGAGCACAAGTGGATGCTGGTGGAAGTTCCTGCCCAGAGGCCAATCCTTTACCCACCAGGAGAGGAGAATGAGCCCTCCCTGGGGGAGTACAACGAGCAGGTGCTGAGGCTGATGCACAGCCTGGGCATAGACCAGCAGAAAACGGTGGAGGTAAAACTCAGATGGGGGTAAAATACATTTATATGGGGGTAAAACACATTTAAATGGAGGTAAAATATATTTAAATGGGGGTAAAACACATTTAAATAAAGGTAAAATACATTTAAATGGAGGTAAAATGCATTTAAATGGGGGTAAAATATATTTATATGGGGGTAAAACACATTTAAATGGGGGTAAACCACACTCAGATGAGGGTAAATCATATCAATAAATATGGGGGTATAATATAATATAATATAATATAATATAATATAATATAATATAATATAATATAATATAATATAATATAATATAATATAATATAATATAATATAATATAATATACAATTATATATTATTAATATATTTTATTATATAATTATACAATTATATAGTATATATAATGATAGCATAAAGTACAATAATTTAATATAATAATACAATGCCTTACATATTATATATAATTATATATAAATTATATATAATATATAATATATATTGATATAATTTTTATATTGATATAATTTTAATAGATTTATATATATTTATATATTTATATAATTTCTATATTTTTATATATATTTATATAATCATATAAATAAATGGGGGTAAAACACTCCTGAGAGAGGTTGGATAAATCATTAACTTGGCAGCTGGAGAGAGACAAGGGGGAATTAGAAAATAAATTCCTTTTGAGCTTTCAAGAGGGTGGCAAATGAGAATCAAAGTCAACCTTGAGCTTTTAGCAGAGAATCAAGGAGGAGCTGAAGGCAGAGAGCTGTGCCTGCCCTGTCCAGGACACAATGCCAGGATTCCCCGTGGGGTTAACGTGGTCATTCCCTCTGGGACGGGAGCTCGGGGCCCTGTGAGGGTTCAGAATGGGATTTCTGGGTGTCCCATCCATCTGGGAGCTCAGCACCACCTGGGATTGATGTTTTTCTGTCCCTGCCACTCTGCTTTGAGCCCTCCTCAGCTCAGAACAGTGCTTGCCCTCCCCTCCACCTCCCAACCACCTCAAAACCCCCTGTTTTTCCTGGCAGAGCACAAAGCCCAGCACCCATCTGGCTGCTCCCACATTTGCTGTGCTTCTCTTCTTGCAGTCCCTGCAGAACAAGAGCTACAACCACTTTGCTGCCATCTATTACCTGCTGGTGGAGAGGCTGAAGTCTCACCGGAGCAGTTTCCCCGTGGAGCAGCGCGTGGACGCGCGGCAGCGCCGGCCCAGCACCATCGCCGAGCAGACCGTGGCCAAGGTCAGCTCCCTCCTGCAATCCCTCCTCAGCCTCATCCCCTTCCAGAATTCCTCCCCTCCACCTGCAGCCCCTGGCTGGTTGGTGTGGGTTCATCCTGGAGCCTGAAATGCAAATAATGGGTTTGGCTTTAGCGAGGATCTTGTTTGTCACTTCACATCTCCTGTTGAAGGGGAAGCCCTGTGCTGCTGCTCCTAACTGGAAGAATTTGGGTTTGGCTTTAGTGGGAATCTCCCTTTTTAACCTCAGCTCCCATTGGCAGCCCTGTGCTTTTTTCCTAACTGGAAGACTCTCATTTTTGAGAGTCTGAAGCTTTTTGTTGGTGAAAAATTTAAATAAACACCAGGTCTGGAGCCTGGGCAGCACTGGGAGTGTCTTTAGTGGGATCAACCAAGGAGCTGCTGAGTTTATGGAGGCTAAAATCTTCCAGACACTCTAAAGGGACCTGTGGAAAATAAAATGGCTTTATCCCCTGCCATTCCCTGTGAAATGGCAAAGAACAGGAAAGAGGTGCCCCAAAAAGCCCATTCATGATCAATTTACCAGGTCAAGGTGGCAATTCCTGGCAGTATTTGGAGTAGCTGATAAAAATGTCATTATCTTGAGCCACTTCATGGCTGAAGTCTCAGAGCTTTGCTCCTAACTGATGTCATTTCTTTCAAGATTTACACCCCTTTTCCCATGGCCCAGTTTCCTGCAGAACCTCTGTATGCACAGAGCCAGTGGAGTGATTAATTGATCTCAGTCCTAAGGATGTCAGGTTTATTTTATCAAGAGCAGTTCTGGGTGCTCTCTCCATCCTCTCCATGGCATGGCTGGACACTTAAAATCCTCTAATTACCTTGATTGATCCAGCACTGAGGCTGCTCAGCTTTTCCCTGCTCATTTTCTCCACAAGAAAATTTCTCCACAGTTTATCCTGTCTTATTCCAGTGATTCTGAGATTTTGATTATTATTTTTTTTTATACACTTTCTCTTGTTTCATTAATACACCCAACCATTGTGCAGCTCTTTTGATTTCTATTAATGCACCGCTGGAAGCATGAGAGGCTTGGCCTGAGATGACTCAGATTTCTCCTGGTCTCAAGTAAATATTCCCTCAAATTCCATCCTCCTGGGTGCTGTGTGCTGCTCTCTGCCCAAATTCCACCTCCACTTCCAAGAGAAATCACAACCAAACTGCTCTGCTCTTTTTTTTTTCCCCCCCTTGCTTCAGGCACCAAGAGGCTCTTTGGGATGTTTGGATTCTGCTGAGGTGAAACTCAGCTTCAATTATAAAAAGCACAGGTCCAGGAACAGCGTGGCAAAGATTAAACTCAGGTTTAAGCTTGGTTCTAGTAGCAGGAAGTCGCAGGATTGCAGAGAAAATTATCAATTTGAAGATATAATTAAAGCAGGTGGAGCCAGATGAATGAGGAGGAATAAAACACCTCTGGGAGGGGGTTCCTTGTACTGAATTCCTGCATTTTAGAGCCACATTCCCACTTTTTTCTTCAGTTACAACCTCACAGTTGTCCCAAGGATAATTTGTTTTCACACGTGGTGGCACCACAGCTCCTGGCTGAGGCTGATCGTTTCCTTTTGACCAGTGGTGTGGAAATAAAGGAAATAAAGGTTCCAGGAAATAAAGGTTCAAAACCAGGGAGACATATCCCTGTTTTCCTGGATTTTTAGGAGATTTCCTGTGAAACTCATTGAAACCATTCCTGAGCCCCCTGGTAGCAGTCAGGGGGTTTGTAGTGAATATAAAAAGGGATTTTAGAGCACCAGAAAGGCCCAAACTCTGTCTGTGCTGCTGGGAATAAGTCAGCTTCAATAAGTCCTGAGCTTAACGACATTTGGGCTTGGCCTGGGTGTTTTGAGGGTGGTAATGTTGGTTTTTTACCCCGAGTTTAAAGGCTAAGAATATTCTTCATCCTGAACCAAGAAATAAATCTTGCACTTCTGCTTTGGCCCTGGGCTGCACGTTGTTTAATCCCTGGCTTTAGACATTGCTCCCTACCTGAAACTGTTCCACTTTTGAGTTTTTGAATTCTGGTGTTTTTTTAGGCACAAGCTGTGGTCCCCTCAGTGAACCTGCATTCCCAAAATCCAAGGCTGCTGCAGTCTCCAGGGCTCCCCTCAGCCTCAGGAGCAGAAACCTTTTCCTTCCCTCCCTCCAGCTGCCAGGGAGAGGCAGCTTTTATGGAGGAGGAGAGGGTTGAGACACCAAAGGTACATCTTGATTTATTATCATATCAATGTATTGATTTATTTATTATTTATCTTTTTTCCCAGAAATCATTCCAGCTAAAAATCGTTCTTGTCTCTTAAAAGCACAGCAGTGCTTCCTGAAATTGAAGTATTTATAGAATTAATATTTAAATATATAAAATATACTTATATTTATAAAAGAAATAAAATTATATTGATTTTTATATATTATATTTTATATATTATATTAATATAATAATTATAACTAGATTCATATTTATAAAATATATATAGTATATATATATTATATAAGTATATTATATATATACTTAGTGTTTATATACTTATTTATAGTATTATAGTGTATATTAATATAATAGTTATGTATTATATTATATATTAATAAAATACTATTATGTATTATATTATATTATATTATATTATATTATATTATATTATATTATATTATATTATATTATATTATATTATATTATATTATATTATATTATATCATATCATATCATATCATATCATATCATATCATATCGTATTATATATTAATTACATTAATTATATTAATTATATTATATTACATTCTATTACATTACATTCTATTATGATATTACATTCTATTAATTATGTTATTTCTCATCAAGAGTTGTAGGTGTTCCACATTCCCTTTCCCTGTGACTCTCCACAGCTTTTATTTTCAGCAATCCTCTGCCTCTTTTTCTTTGCTTACATTCCAATCTCACCACACTGCTCTTGGGAAGGGATAAAAAAAACACCCAAAAAATTGGGTTTCTTTCCCTTGTTCTTCTAAAATGTATTTTTAAGAGCTGTGAAGGCTCCTCCTCCTCACACAGAGGGGTCGTGGATGCAGCTGAAGTGTCCAAATGAGCTCCAGCCTGATCTGGAGTCAGCAATTAGAAGGGGAAATAGCTTAAAATAATTACATTTATGAAGTATGTGACTCCCATAAAACTTGTGTTGTTTTCTCTCATGTTGCACCACGTTATAACTCGAATTTCAGCGTATTTCTCCTGCCTGCTGCCAGCTGGGATTTGATGTCCTGCCTGCCAGTTTGAAGGGTTTATTGCTCCCTGGTTTGTTCCCAACACCGAGAGTGTGGCCCTGGTTCTCAGCACTGGCTCCTTGTGTGGTCTCTGGCAGCTGGAAAGCACAAACCAGTTCAAAGGCACTTCAAAATTAACATTTTGAGCTTTATTTTGCATCCCCCTTTTGCTTTAGAGCTGCTCTTTGGTCGGGGTAGGTCAACAGCTGGTGACAGCAGCGAGGTGTCGAGGCTGAGCTCGCTTGGGAATATCCTTAACTTCTGTAGGACAAGAGCACTAAAGGATTTTCCAGGCTCTGATCCCTGGAAAAACTGCAGGGAGCCAATGTGGGATCAGTTCTGCTCTTCCTTTCTGCCAGATCAGTGCCAGGCTTTTGAGTGGAAACTCCCAGATGGGAAGGAAGGTGTGCAAGAAATTAAATTCAGAGGTAAAATCCACTCAGTCGAAACAGAGGCAGCAGAGCCAGGGTTTTCCTGTGCAGGAATCCTCATTTTCCTGCTGTTTAAACTATTTATAGCTGTTTCTTGATATTTTCCTACCATATAGTTCTGCCTCAAGACCATTTGTTAAGGGTTGCTGTCTGCAGTGAAACCTCTTTTCCAAACACTCCTCCTTTTCAAAACAGCAAAGAACTTGGAGGAGAATTCAGGAATGGCTCAATAAAAATGGCTTTACATAAAATCAGCTGCAGCAGCTCCAGGTTTTGTGGTAAAGGATTGTGTTTTTTCCATCCCTGTTTTACCCAGTGTGATCCTGTTTGTGCAGCAGGACAGAGCCTCCAAAAGCTGCAGGACACGGGAATATTTATAAATTAAAAATAAGAGAAATAATAGAAATGTTGATAATAAAAGTTGATGTAAAAATGAAAATATATAAATAATATTTTTGCCTAAACCCCAAATAATTTCATACAGCAAAGAATTAGTATTATTCTTTAGAATTAGAAAAAAGTCCAAGCAAACTGGCTTGGAGAATAAAACCAGAATTAAAATCCTAGGAGCAGTTTAGGTTGGGGAGGTGCCTCTAAAGGATCCAGAGCTGTGGGAGGCTGCTCAGGGCTTTATCAGGCTGGGTAAAATCCAAGGAGGGAGATTCCACAGCTTCTCCAGGCAGCCTGTCTTTGCAGGGGAACAACATTAATCAAGTGGACTCGTGCTGGAAAAAGGTGCATTTATGGAGTTATTCCTGAGCACAGCCCTGCAAGGATGAAATACAAGGCTGGGTTTTTTCTTCCCTGGTGTTTATCTGAGTGTGATAAATGAGCACAGTAGGTATAGGAAAGGGGGGAACAGCAGTATTGCACATTCCATAAATATTTTATAGTTGTGACTAAGCTGGCAAAGTTTTTAATAACTCAGACCCTCCCCCCATAAAAGAAAAAACAAAAAGAAAAACAAAAAAAAAATAAACCCAGCCCTGGAGAGCACAGAACTGTGGGAATGAGAATATTTAATTGTAGGGAATTGAGTGTTAAGGGGATGTAAACAGGAAATTAAGAATTGTCCATGACAAGCCTTACTTAACTCAGCAGAGTTAAAATGACTGCCTTCAGGCCAGGGATTTCCTGCTTTTTGGGGGCGATTCCTTGGGCACCAACCAAAGCTGTTCCCTGTCGCTGTGGCCCAGGTGAACGGCTGCCTGCTGGACCCCGTGCCTCCCGTGGGGATGAGGAAAGGATGCCAATCCCTGCCCTCCAGCATGATGGAAACCTCGATTGACGAAGGAATAGAGGCAGAAGGGGAGACAGAGGAGGACCCAGCGCAGGCTTTCGCCGCCCTGCGGGCAGCTCGGGGCGGGAAGCGGCGGCACACCCTGGCTGAGGTCACCAACCAGCTGGTGATGGTGCCAGGCTCAGGTACACAGCTCAGCTCAAAGCTCGTTCTCTCCCTCAGTCTGACCAGCTGGTGATGGAAAACGTGAGGTTTTGTGAGTGATGAGTGCCAGACAGTTTGTATTTGCTAGAAAGGACAAAGGGAACAAGCCATAAAATACCCCAATACCACAAAATGCCCCAAAATCTGCTGTTGAGAACAGTATAAAATCAGAGCAGCAAATTTACAGGTGATTAAACCCATGTACAACCCCAACAAGACTGGGAAATCTGGCAAAACTGGCTGCTTTTTCAACTGAATGTCCCCAAATCATTCATCCCCCTAAAGAGGAGCTGGCAGAGAATGGTGGGGAAATAAAACCCCCTGGAATCCCAACACCAGTGAGGTGACCAAGGCTGTACAAGTCTGTACAAAACTGGATTGTTCTGCCACAAGATTATCTGTGGGCAAAAAAAACCCCCTAAACACTTTCCAGACAGGCCAGTGAACATCTGCAGAGTGTCTGACTGCAAAGAGCAGTAGCAAATCCTCATTATTGCACTGCTGGTTTTACTTGACAATTCCTTTGTCAGAATTGGGGTTTTTTTTTGACTGTTCACTCTAAGATAGCCACTGTTGGCAGGAGTAGCTGGAGTCAGTGGCACTGATTCCCACTTTTATCCTGGTTTTTGGTTGGTTTTTTTTTGTCCCAGGGAAAGTCTATTCCTTGGATGAGAACTCCTCCCTGAGCAGCATCGACTCCGAGTACGACATGGGCTCCATCCAGAGGGATCTCAAATTCCTGGGAGAGACCCCTTCCTTGAAGGAGATGGTGCTGAGCAGCCAGCAGGCCCCACGGGTGGCTTCCCCTTTCCTGGGGCTCAGACCTGCCAACCCAGCCATGCAGGCCCTGAGCTCCCAAAAACGAGAGGCTCACAACCGCTCCCCCGTCAGCTTCCGCGAGGGCCGCAGGGCCTCCGACACCTCCCTCACCCAAGGTAACTCCTCTGCAGCAGTGTGTTGAGTGTGTGTTCAGTGACAATTCTGTGTTTGAATCTGCTCTGGCAGTCATGACAGCCAGGCACAGCAGGGAGTGCCCTCCACGCTCGGCTGTGGCTCGGTTAGCAGCTTATCTCCTGTGCTAAAATCAAAATCTCCTGTGCAGAAAATCAAATTGTTCTGACAAAGGGTTTTTTGGGTTTGTTTTTTTCTGTTTGTCTCCTCTCCAGGAATTGTAGCATTTAGACAGCACCTCCAGAACCTGGCACGAGCCAAAGGAATCCTGGAGCTGAACAAAGTCCAGCTGCTGTACGAACAAATGGGATCAGAGGAAGAGCCTTCTCTGACATCAGCTGCCAGCCAGCTGCAGGATCTCATTAACAGCCCTGCACAGGTACTAAAAGCAGAAATCGAGCTCCATCTTAAAGCTTTGGGACAGATCAGGAGAGGATGAGGTGGTGTGCAGACCTGGGAAGAGCTAATTGATAGATTAAATACCCTATTCTCCTTCTGCCTCCCCCAGACTGGAGAATTTGCTGTCAGTGAGTGGCTCTGTCAGCTTCCCAAACCCAGCTGCCATTGCTTTCAATCTGAAGGATGTTTTGGATTTAGCAAAGGCCAGTAACACCTTTTCTTGGTGGAGGTATAATTGCAAGCAGTGCTCCCAGCCCGATTTTCAGAGTGAGATATTAAAGAGCTCCCAGTGAGTTGTTCAGAGCGGAACGGGAACGCTGCAACCGTGGAACCTCTGGCAGGGAAAATCCTTAAAGAAAGGGTTAAGAGAGCCTTCTCTGGGCATGCAGCTTCTTCCTCTTCCCTCTGCAGGAGGAAGGCTCCCAGCAGCAGCAGCAGCAGCAGCAGGAGGCTCCAGCTGCTTTTCCCAGCAGTGCACACCCCCCGCTGTTATCCCGACGGCAGAGCTTGGAGACGCAGTACCTGAAACACCGGCTCCAGGTAGCCCTGCCCTGCCCTGCCCAGGCTCAGCACAGCAGCTCTGCTGCCCAGCACAAGCTCTCAGGGGATAAATGAGCACAGAGCAGCTCAGCTGGGAGTTGCACCGTGTTTTTCTGGTGTCAGGCACTGACCCGAATTATGCAGAAAGTGCATTCTTGCTTTTTCCCTGGCGGTGTTTAATTGCTGGAACATCCCATAAAGGTTCTGCATCAGCACCTGAGGAGCCACTTCACCCCCTGGGCCTTCCTCTTCCACACCCCCTTTATTTCAAACCCATTTTCCTACACTTTTAGTTTATAGAAAACTGGGGTTTCTCCAGTTTTCCAGCTTGCAGCTTCATCCGCTTGGGAAGAAAGCTTTCCGTGGATTTTTATGGCACAATCTCTCCTGCAAAAATACTGTCTAAGGGTTAGAAGCCAATGGGCAGCATTGTGGCTTCAGGGAGTGGCTCTGTGGACAGCTGGGCAGTTACAGGGGTAGAAAAATTTCCTCTTGCTTTCTGGACTAATTCATTAAATCAAATAACATTTAAACCAGCTCTGCTTCCCTTGCAGAAGCCCACTCTGCTCTCCAAAGCTCAGAACACTTGCCAGCTCTACTGCAAAGAGCTGCCCCGGAGTCTGGAACAGCAGCTCCAGGAGCACAGGTGAGAATCCCCCAAATTATTATTCTCAGAGGAATTATTCTGAGGGGTAATTAAAGAACTGAAACTCTCTTTGTCCATTTAGAAATTATCTGAAAAAAGGAATAGCTTGACTTCAAAACTTTGAAAAGCAAGAACAAGTCCTGCCATGTGTTTACAAATTTCTCTGCCTGATCTTCAGCTCCCAAATTCCCCAGAGCAGTGAGCAGCAGGCTTTAAAATACAAAACACAATGGGTCTCATTCTTAACAAACTGAATTAAACAATGCACGGGCTTAGCTGAGAAAGTCGCTAAAGTTACCAAAGGAGATGTGTGATAACATTGAAAGGTGATAACTTTGATGTGCCGCACAAGTTAAGGAGCAGGATTGCCCGGGGATTTTCCTGTGTGAGCGGTCCAAATGGCCAAAAATAACTGTTTTTCTGTCCTGGCTGCAGGCTGCACCAGAAGAGGCTGTTCCTGCAGAAGCAGTCCCAGCTGCAGGCCTACTTTAACCAGATGCAGATAGCCGAGAGCTCGTACCCCCGCGCCAGCCCGCTGCCCCTGCCCTGCCCGGAGGAGCTGCAGCCCCAGCCCCAGCCCCAGCAGCAGCAGCAGCAGCAGGAGCAGCAGCAGCAGCAGCCAGCCCAGTTCAGCCTGCAGCAGCCCCTGAGCCCCGTGCTGGAGCCCTCCTCGGGGCAGCTGCGCTTCGAGCCCTTCCTCAGGCAGTTCCCCAAGGTGCAGCTGGAGCCGCTGCCCCCCAGCCCGTCCCGGCTGTCCCCACCGGGGCAGGGACAGCCAGCACAGCCCCTGCAGTTCCCCTTCCAGACTTGTGACGTGCCTGGGGTCCCCTCTGCCGAGCAGTGCCACCTCCCCACGAGCTCTGAGAGCGGCTCTGCCGAGGCACAGCCCGGCTACGAGTCCCTGCCCCTGCCAGAACTGCCCGGACTCTTCGACTGTGAGATGATGGAGGCAGTGGATCCCCAGCACGGTGGCTACGTCCTGGTCAATTAGCAGCCAGGGCAGGCTGGAAGGACAAATGGAGAAGCATGTGAATTTTTGGTTGGTTTATTTTTTATTTTTTTTTTTTTTTTTTTCTGTTCCTAATTCCCCCCTCCCCAAACCCCGGAATTCATGGTAGTTTTTCGACTCTTGAATCGACAGGGGAATTAAAAATCCACCTGGCTGGAAGGAAAACAATTAAAATAAAGCAGGAGGTGTTTGGCCCCAGTGGCAGGGGCTGGGGAACAGGGAGTGCAGCTTCATCCCACAAAGTCTGCGTAGAAGGAGGCAAAAAAGGTGAATTTCAGAGGAAGGAAATAGCCCCTTCTAAAAAAATCTGGGGAGTTTGTCAGCATTCATCCAACACGCACTTGGAGAGAGGAGAGTGCACACTTATCATACTTCTTGGCAATAAAAGCAATAGTTTCCATGGAAATTCAGGGTGGATTTGTGTCTGCGCTGATGGCAACTGAAATCCTCTGGAGAACAGGAGCATGAGGTGGAATTCATGGGAAGTTGCACTTTGGTTGAGCTCCTGGTCTGGAACTACTCCGTGGCCAGCCCTGAGCGTCTCAGGCAGCCTCCACTTCCTCCTGCTGGCACCTGAACGGGATTTCCCAAGCCTGCCAAGGAGCTCTTGACTGGCTGCTGAAGGAATCTGGAGCAAGGGACAGCTTGACTTTGTCAAAAGAAACCTGGGACTGTGTGGAGAGACCTCTGGGTGGGGATCAAGGGTGAGCCAACAGAGCCAGAAGGTAAGAGAGCCACGAGAGAGACAGCAAGAGCTGCAGGAACTTACATTGATAAATAAAAAAATCCACCTATGTGGCTTTTAAAATCACCCCCTTTTGCCAGGAGGGCTCTGTCCTGGAGAAGTTCTCACTGAAAAGGATCCACCTGTCCCTGGGTTGCATTTTTAAAAAAAAAAAAACAACAAGCAAACAAAACTCTGTTTTGAATTTGCAGTATGTGTTGCTGGTGGTTTCTTGAGCTTTGTATATTTGGACAGTTATTTAGGGTTTTAGAACTTTTAAGGATTAAAAAAAAAAACAAAACAATGAGCTTATAAAAAGTAAAAAAAACACCCCCGTGAAGTGATAGTGCTGTGCCTTTTTCAGTTCTTTATCAGCCTATTTGCTTTTTTCTGAAGAAAGTAGACAATACCCCATTTATATCCCTGCTGTGGCCAAAGTCCCTTCAGAGCACACGTCCCACCATGTGGGACATGTTTAACTTTCTTAGTGTTTGAATGGCTCGTGTATATAGGACACTGAAAGTATCACAGCAATATTTCAGCATCAAACCGTTGATGTCTCGACCATTTCAAGGGATTGCTCCGGCTCCAGCTGGAGCTGCGTCTCCAGAACTTTGCAGATGTGAAATCCGAGTCATAGGAGGGGGACGGCTCAGGGAGCTGCAGGAGGATGAGAGCTCCAGTTTGGGGTTTGTCTCTGAGCCTCGAGTGTCGTGGGCCAGGCCAGCCTTTCCCTGAGCAAACTTTAAGCACAATTGCAGCTTCATCAAAGCACAAAGAGCCAGAGGAGCTGTGCTGATCACAGCAGAGTTTGCTGGAAGGTTTGGGCTTTGGTACTGCAAGTCCTGAGGCTGGAGGGAGGTGGATGATCAGCGTGTACAGCAATAAGAGCACATTAAAACGTGGAACAGGAGGAGTTCAGCCGCTGTGTGTGAAGGGCAGGGGGGTTGAACAGGTGACAGAAGGCAGCTGGTCCCTGTGTGCTCAGGTAGAGACAACTCCTGGTCTCTGGAGCCTGCTCTGGCACTGGCCCAGCCCAAAAGTGCTCAGCTTCTACCTCTGCTATCAGGGATTCTCAAGGCAGCAGCAAAAAGGAGTTTAAGGAACAGGGATCACGAGAGAAGGATGGCCAGAAAGCTCTGAGAGAAAAGGTTTTTGTTGTGTGGTTTCCCTTCAAATGTCTGACACAGTGGAGCACAAACCCAGTGACACCTGAAGGGAAACAGCCTGACAAAAACTGCAGCAGAGCAGGGCAGGAAGAAAGAGGAAACAGAGTCCTGTCCTTTCACTCCTCCTTCCCCACCCTGCAGCATCACCCACACGCTCTGGAATGTGCAGTCTGTCCAGGCACTCGCGGAGCTGGGCAGTGAGAGCTGCTTCCAGGACAGCCCCAGTGCTGCTCCAGGGGACTGCCAGAACAATAACCACTTCCTTCCCCATCCAGCTCCAGGATCCTGCACGTTGCAGGACTCAAAAGATAAAAATAATTCCGTTCTGGAGTTCTACAGTGCATTTTTCAGGATGTGCCAACCGCTCTGAGCTTTGCAGTGCTGGGCAGGGGGAAGCTGCAGGATTTTTTAATGTAGTTTAGACTGACTCTTTCCCCTCAGCCAAAAGCATATTTAACATTTCATGTAATTTCCTTTAAGCCAATTAGGACTAAAAGGCTTCTGAAGCCTTCTCATACAGAGAGGATCCATTGGGCACCACTTCCTACTCCTTTGAAGTGGCTTTTTTTTGTTCCAATCTGTTCTGTTCTAACATTAGAGAACTGTGTACACTACTGTTAGAGTAATTATTAGCTTTATTATCTTGTACTACAGCCTCCTTTGAAGAGACTTTGGTGTGATGTACATGGGGTACAAATTTCATACGGAGAAAAGTGCAATATGTGTGTGTGTGGTATGTTCTTTAATGTATTTTTTTAAGGATTTAGAGGGTTTAGTCTCTGCTTTGGGATAAATGCACTAGTTTTGTGAGCTCCAGTTTGGCAAGTTCATCTGTAGTATTTACATGCAACTGATCTGCTGGACTCTGTAAAGCAGTTACAGTGTATTAATACAAAATAAAGAATATGTGCATTTCATTTTTTAAATTTCTAGTGAGCTAAAGCAGCGCCTGCCACTCTTGTCTTCATTAGGGTCAGGTTATTTTCTCTCTGAGGCACCAGAACAGTTCATGTCTGCTGCAATCACTGGATTTTCTAGACTGAGGTTTGCTTCCCATGGTTCTGGCACACTTGGGGTTGTTGGTACCACTGACTTTATTTTGCCAAATAAGAATTTGGAAAGACTTGGCACCACAGGAGTGGCACAGCACTTTGCACTTTCATCAACAGAAGGCTCATTCAAAATTAATTAAAATGAGATCAAAAACCAGCAGAAAAATCCTCAGCAGCTCTTGTTTTAACACCACTGGTGACATTCCTGTGACCCTCGTGGTTCCTGCTGATGCCAGGATCTGATGTTTTGAGGTAAAATGCAAAAGTTATTGGAGAGCCAGTGGATTCACCTCTTCCCCCACCCCAGAACTGCTATTAGGTGTTGACTCAGCCCCAAACAGCTGCCCCAAGGGGTTCTTGTGACCCACACTGTCACTGTCCTGTCCCCACAAACAGGACATGGCGCAGGGAAATGGCCCCAGTCGCCCTCACACGCTCCCAGTCCATCCCTGCTGGCAGGCACAGCGAGGCAGAGAAGGTGACACGTTCAGGAGACCTCAGCTGACCTCCCAAGCTGTCTGCAGGACACTCCTCCATCCCTGCTGCCCCAAAGGCTCAGGCTAAGCCATCCTTATCCCAGTGGAGACAGGAGAAAGCCTCCCTCCCCCTGGCCCGGCTCAGAGCCTGTAAATCCTGCATTTCCCAGCATTTCCCCGCGGGCTCAGGGCCAGCACAGCTGTGGCAGGGCTGGTGGCAGTCCCTGGCACAGGGATCAGCCAGTGCCACCAGCACAGGTCACACTGCGGGGACAGCACAGGGACAAAACCCAGCAGCAGCTCTGGAACCCGGGCTGAGCTCGTGCACAGAGCCCTGCAGGGCTGGGAGAGCCAAAAAGAACCCTAAAATTGTGTCTGAATTCAGTGTACACAGCCCTGCTGCTGAGCTGGGCTGGGAGAGCCAAAAAGAACCCTAAAATTGTGCCTGAATTCAGTGTACACAGCCCTGCTGCTGAGCTGGTTTGGACAATCCTGAAATTGAGGGATATGTCAGAGTGAGTATAAAATAAGAGCAGGAATTAATTCTCCTCCCTTTCTCCCTCCACTGCTGGGCAAAGTGCAAGGCTGGAAAACGAGGCATAAACTCTGCAGCCCTGACCCTGGTGGGAACGTGGCCAAGCAGGTCACTGTGGGGAAAGAATTGCAAGCTCAGCCACCAGAGGGTTTTGCTGATTCAGGTGATTTTCCAGTGGGAATATTGCATTGGAGGGGAGGTCAGATGGCAGGGAGCTCCTTTGAAATGGGATGAAAAGAAACTTCTTCTTGGGTGACTCCCACAGGGCATCAGCTGTGAATTTGAGGCGAACCCTCAAAGGGATAAGGATCAGGGAAATGAATGGAGAAATATGGGAAATTCTGCCCCTGGTGCTTTGAGGATTCCATTGCTTGCACCTCGAGGTACAGAGAATAACTCAGTGCCACTGGCTGAGGTTTGCAAGGCTAAAGGAACAGGCTCTGTGTGGACTAAACCTGATATTCATCTGATTCTGGACAGGTTATCCTGATTTTCAGTGGCTAAAAATTAGCAGAACAAAAAGTAAATTGTGGAAAAGCCCAGACACTCAGGCAAACAAGGAAATGCGAGGTTAATCTGAGTGTAAAACCACAAGGTTGAGTAGAAACTGAAACCAAGGGCAGGAACATCCTCTAATTTACAAGAAATGGCCCCTGATGAAAAATCATACCTGCAGCTCCAGCAGCAGAGAATTCCACCCAGTGCCAATAATTTAATAACCACAGGAAATCTGTGCCTGCTGGTAGAACCCCACAAATCTAACAGAGGACAAGCAGTTAACCCTGGGGATGAAATAAACCATGGGTGGGGGGTGAAGACTGAGAAACTGAGCCCTGACAGCCCCAAAAGGCACATCCAAACCTCACACATCCCCTCTGACACCAGGATAACCACGGAGACAGCAGCAGGGATGCCCTAAGGAACCATCCCACCACAGGGAATCCCAAAAGGAGCTCATGGGCACACAGCCCACACGCTCAGCAATACAAGGACGAGGCTACAGCAGGTTTTATCCCCCTTTTATCTCATTTTAAAAGTTCTACCTGCCCATTTTCCCAGGGTTTCCATTCCACCATCCCTCCCTGGAAGGCTCCATTTTCCCCAGAGCTGTCACTCAGCGTTCCCTGAGCTTCAATATGGGGCTTTCAGGAGAGATCTCTCTGCTCAAAAAGATCCCTAAAAGCGGTGATTTCCTGCCAGGGAAATGCCACAATGTGATTTTATGTGGCAGCCCCTGCTGGGGTGGCTTATCAGCAAATAAAGGCAGCGGGGTTTTGATAAGGATCCGTGCGGGGTTGGTTTGCAGAGCAGCAGCAAAACCACTCACACACAGGGAGCTAATGGGAGGTTTGTTCCCAAAATACCCCCAAATGGACATTTACCAAGCTGAGAGTGCCCTGCCAAGGCCAGGCACATTTTGGGAGTCCAGAACTCCCTGCTGGAGAGCAGAGCCGACGCCAAGAGGGGAAATGACAGCAGGGGCTGAATCACCTGGGTCTGCCTCCCCCTGTGCTCGGAGCCTGGGAGGGACAGGTGGCTGTTTCCATGGAAAACACTTCATCAGAGCACGGCAGCCTTCTCCAGGACCACCAGCTCCCACCAAAATGGTATAAAATAGGTATTTATCCAAAAATAAACACCCTGAGCTTCTCTGTCTCTTTGAAAGCACCATTGCTCAGCTCAGGTGCTGTCATACATGGATTACAGAGAAAAACCTCTCAGAAGGGAGCAAAAGTGACATTTTCCTGTTCCTGCCCCCATTCCAGGTCAGGCTGCTCTGCTCAAAATTCCAAGTTTGCAACTTGGTCACTTGGAGAAGCTCCTGGTCTGGGGAATTGGGAGTTTAAACTTCACCAAAGAGCTCCTCTTCATGGCAAAGAACCCTGCAGGAGCCGAGTCCTCTCCTTCAGCAAACCAGAACACCCAGAAAACAGCAGGTGAGGAACCCCAAATAGCCATAAAGGCCCAGCCCTCTGCTCAGAAAAATTCCTGAAGCTGGAAAACGAGAGCCCAGCATCCCCCAAGCACCAATTCCCAACTTCCCCATCAAACTGGGCTGCCCTCAGAGCCCTGAACCCATGGCAGAGCTCAGGAATTCCCTTTCCCCAGGCTCCCAGCCCTGGGTGGGGTGAAGAGGGGAACAAACCTGCAGAAAAAGTGCCTTTAACTCCCCCTTCCCCTCGAGCCAGAGCGGGAGAACATCATCATTAACGCAGCAAATTAGCAGCCGAGCCTCGTTGGCCCTGCTGGCGTCACTGGAGGGATAATTAATAATTCCCACTAATCAGGGCCTGCCAGCAGGAGCTGGGGCACGGGCAGGGCAGGGCTGAGGCTCCCCTTTGGCAGCAGCGTTTCCTTGGAGCTGTTGCCATGCCAACACATCTGTCTGGGCCATCCTGCTCCTCACAAGTTCCAGGTAATTCAGCTCAGAAAGGTTCTCAAGAGCTTTAACCCTTCCTCCGAAGCACGGAGCTCTCACAGGTGCCAGTGGAAAAGGAAACTGCTGCCAAATTTCCCCTGCTGAGGGATCCACCAAAACCAACAAAACCAAACCAAAAATGCCCACAAAACCCCCCAAATCCAGCAGCTGTGGTCCAGCAGGAATTGCCTAAAGCCTGAGGTACAAACCAGAGCGCCCAGCAGCCCTGAGAGAGGCATGTCCTGCTCTCAACCCCACAAAAAGGGCCCCAGACCTCTCCCCCCGTCACTGCCCCACACCACAGCCACCACAATTTCCCATTTCCAGCCCCAAATCACCCTTGGCTGACAGACACGGATCCCAACCGTGCCAAGCTGTTAAAAATAAGCAAAACCCTGACCTCCTTCTGGGACTTCAGCCCTTCAACCATTCCCAGTTTAACCCTTAACCTCTGGCTCTAAAGATTTCACCTTTTCTTAATGTTTATTTGAAATAATCACATTTTTGAAGAGAGGCCAGAGCTTTATGAAGATCAGCTGCTCCTCAGTTCTTTGACCAGATTTATCCTAAATATTGACAATAATGTCAACAACTGGTGCATTTGATATTCCACAGGGCAAGATGGACTTGAAAAGCAAACATTTGGAGTGCCATTCACTTCAACAGTTCAAACAACAGGGATTTTGGGGGAAGGCTTTCTGAAATCCCCGTCAGGAACATCCCTCTGCTCCCCAAGCTCCAAGGAGCCCCAATAATTCCATCCTGACCTGCACTGATGTCAGGATTTAATTGAGATAAACACACAGCACCAGCAGGAAAACAAGGATTCAGAATCAGCTCATCCCTGAGTCACAACTGGAGGCAAAGTGGAAGCAAAACCATTTCTGGGTTATTTTGAACCCGTATTTTGAACCCTGACAAACACAGCTGCATTTTTGCCTTTCCCTGGGGGATTTGTCCCAGAATACCAGCCTGTAAAAGGGCTGATTTTCTATCAACAGTTCTTAGAAGCCACAATGGCAGCTTTAATTGTATTTTTCTCCAAAAGAATTAATTGTAAACTGACTAAAAGTCAGCCTGGAGAGACTCAGAGGGGAAGGCAAGCTCAGCTCCTGGCACAGCTTTGGGAGCTCTGCATTGTTCCCAGCTGGGTCACTGGGGGATGGAGAAAAAACCTTTCCAGACCCCCAGACCTCCTGAAGAGGCTCAGAAAGACTCAGAAATGGAACAAAAAAAAAGGGGAACAGCTGATATTTCGGCTAATAACCCAAAGGAGCTGTGATTAGGAGCAGCCCACCCCTCTGAAAAATAATAAAAATAAATAAATAAAATAAATTATATATAAAAAAATTACAAAAGGAACACACCTTCACCCAGCAATCCAAATCTTCAGCCCTGCCTGCATCCACCTGCAGGTGGATGCCCAAGGTGAGAT